GGGGGGGTGGGGTTGGGATAGGTCCCGCCTATCTAAGCGCTATTTATCTCTCTGCCAAAGATAGGAAGTATCTTCCTTTCTGGTTACTCCTTCCCTAGCTGTGCTCTAAGCAAGTTGAGAGAACTGACTGTGTCCCTGGCATGCCCTCCCCAGGGCGGGGGCAGGATGAGGATGAAATCTGCACCCACATTTAAGGTTCGTGCACTCAGAGGTCAGCTACGATTTAGGAGCCAGATGATGTCCCCAGGGCTCAGGGACAGTGACAGGTCCGCTTCGATCCCTCACAAGCTGGGGCCGTCTTCTGGGTCTAGGCGCCTGCTTTGCCCAGCGGTCGCCAGGCAGAGTGGGGCGCATGGCCCTGGCTCTGGGGGACCAGCAGCGCGAGGCCTGGCCAGGAGGCGGGGCAAGGATGCCTCTACAACCTCAGGCCAGGGTTGCGTTTGACCCCAGCTTGGCCGGCCTCTGCTGGCACACAGGCCCCCAAAAGAAAAATGAGAGTCTCACTGCTCTTCTGTCCACCCTACCTGCTGTAGTTTTCATGAAAAATAAAATAAAAAAGACATCATGAACGTGAACGTGGGTTAAGAACTTGTAGCCCAGGCTGATTTCACTGTGCAGGCTGAGCTCACCCAGAGCTCGAGAAGGGAAGGGCCACGCGGCCACGTGGCCACGTTAGTCAAAGTCACCAGTGCTGAGGACGTGCCGTGGTGGGTCCGCTAATCCTAGGCCGTGGATGTGTGACCTGCAGTTCTATTGTTTTATTTTATTTTATTTATTTTATTATTTATGCACACAGAACTGGGGTACAGGCCAGAGGTGCGGGGTGGGTGAGAGGATTCCCCAGAGACAGAGCGGGGAGCAGAAGAGGCAGATGGACTGAAACACACTGCTGAGGGGAGCAGCAGGGAGACAGGAGAGGTCTGCTGCGCCCTGGGGGTCCCTCCCTGGCTGGGGATCAAACTCGTGCTGCAGGGGCTGCGGACGGCTTCACAGCGCTGGGCTGTAACCCACTGCACCACCAGGGTGGGCCCCAGTTTTGCATTCTATGCAAGGCCACGGCTGCCCGCCAATCAGCCACAGGAGCTACACCTGCCAGGTGCCTTTCAGATCAATCAAGAGCAGAAAGCGCGACCACCCTGGGAAGGCTGGGTATGGCCAGGAATGTGGGGCCCTGGGGCCCGCAGTGGGGTGTAGGAGCGGGGGGAGGGTGAGGACTGATGTACACAAGGGGCCCCAGAAGCTGATGAGCAGAACGCCTTGGGATAAGATCGCCGCCCCGCTGGGGCCCAGAGCCTGCTCGCCATTACCACACCGACTCATCAGGCAGGTGAGAAGCATCTGCAGGGCAGACTCGCCATACTGCGAGGACAGAGCACATTTTCGGGCTCCACCCTCCCTCCCCTTCTCTCCCCTCACCACTGCTGCTGCCAGTTACTCTGTCACGAGCCCAGTGTCTGCCCTCAGCAGCATCCGTGTCCCTCGGCCGCTCCACGGCCCCGTTCGTCAGTGTGGGGTTGTCAAGGCATCACCCAGAAGCTTCTCCACATCAGTCTACTATTTAAAAAACAACCCCCCCACTGTCATAACCAGGTGAGGCTACCTTACTTGACCACGTCAAAAGCGATATCAGAACTAAGAACTAAACATAAAAAGGAGCGAGCAGGTGTATTTCCACGCTGCTTCCCAGCATGTCGGCTCACAGCTCGGTGATGTTTTATTCCTGTTTTTAATTCATTTGAAGTAGATAATCTATATGCCTCCTTTTTGTGTATGCCTTCACTCCCTTTCTCAGCATCAAAAAATTTTTAAAAATTGGCCCTCCCTGGCGGCGCAGCGGGTTAAAGCGCAGCACTGAGAATCTAAAGCCGCTTCCGCATGAGTTCGATTCCCGCCTGCCCCAGAGGTGACCACATGGCGCGGCAGACCTCTCCTGACCCGCCCGCTGCTCCCCTCAGCAGTGTACTTCGTCAGTCTGCCTGTTCTGTTCCCCACTCTGTCTCTGGTGAAGCCTCTCGCCTCCCCTGAGCTTCTGGCCTGTACCCCAGTTCTGTATGTACAAATAAATAAATCTTTAAAAAAAAAATTTTTTTAAATTAAAAAAAAAAAAAAGGAAATTCCTGGTTCCCGGGAAGACAGGATTCAAGATGGCAGCATAGCGGGCCTGGGGGTTCACTTCCTCCCGTGAACACGTCGAAGATGCAGCCACGTCTAGAGTAACTTCCTGTGGAAAGGACTTGAGGATGAGCTGAGGAGTCCTCACAACGGGGAACAAGGGAACCTGACTCAGTGTCACCAGCAGCCTTCCTCGCCTGGCCACCCACATCAAGGGGGTTCATCAATACCGGCCTTTCCTGAGGATTCATGCCCTCGCAGGCACCCCGAGAAAGCACCATAGAGAAAGCCCCCCCTGCACAGACCTACACAGGAAACCCAACATGGCCTCCCTGGCGGTGCAGCGGGTTAAGGCGCAGCACTGTGAAGCCCTCATGGCCACTGCAGCACGAGTTCGATCCCCGGCCAGAGAGTGACCCACAGGGCGCAGCAGACCTCTCCTGTCTCCCCGCTGCTCCCCTCAGCAGTGTATTTCAGTAGATCTGCCTGGTCTGCTCCCCACTTTGTCTCTGGTGAATCCTCTCCCCGCCACCCCTGCATCTCTGGCCTGGACCCTAGTTCTTGTGTGCATAAATCAATAAAAATAAATCTTAAAAAAAAAAAAACAATAGGACTCCTGACCAAATAAGCTTTGGGCCCCTGCTAGGCCCTGGTCAGAGAGGCCTCTGTTCCTCTTGTCTGCAAGATAATCAGTGTCCTTAAGGCAAATAAATACCCTCCAAAGCGGGAGTTTATGTCTTTGTCCAGATTCCTCACAGCACTAACTCAGTGCCTCTTGCAAGCAGGTACTGGGAAGATGTTTCTTGCCGAGAACATCTATTTAGTTAAACTCTGGCCAATAATAATTCCGATTCTTCTTCTTCAGCCTTCCTCGCGGGCTAAACCATAACGTGCAGTGACTGGGAATCATTTCTTTACTCCCAAGGCTTTACTCCCAGGCTACACTATGTTTTCCATCTTGCGACAAGGAAGTCAAGGCTCAGAGACGTTCCACCTCTTACCCAAGGCCCCAGCTGGTGCCTGGGAAAGGCAGCACCCCAAATAGGACCATGATTGTGGCCACAGATGGTAGAAGCCACACTGCTGTGTGTCACGTCATATTCACAAAAACCCAAGGAGCTACTGGGGCTGGGAGGTTTATTGTGTCATTCTCTCTCTCTCTCTTTTTCCTTTTAAAGATTTTCTTATTTATGCACATAGAACTGGGGTACAGGCCAGAGATGCAGGGGTGGTGAGAGGCTTCACCAGAGTCAGAGTGGGGAGCAAAATAGGCAGTGTTCAATGCAGGAATTTCACTTAATACACTTTGAAGTCCACTGCTGAGGGGAGCAGCGGGCGGGCAGGAGAGGTCTGCCGCGCCATGTGGTCACCTCGGGGGCAGGCGGGGATCGAACTCACCCTGAAGCGGCTGCCGCTAGCTTGCAGTCTGCGCGTTAACCCATTGAGCCACCAGGGAGGGCTCCGTTATGTCATTCTTTTCCTCCACCCACTGTCCTTTTACCCAGTTTATTAAGTCAAATCCCTGCACTGTCCCTCTACCCACCACATGGGAATACTGGTGTGGGGGGGGTGTCTGGGGGTGTGGGCGTGAATGTGGGGGACACTGTGTGCCTGGGGGAGGGAGGCACAGAGAAACAGGGCTGAGGAGAAGACTGACAAGTGCCAGACAGAAAAGGAAGGAGAAGGCATTCCCGTGGTGATGACGGCTTTATTTCACCCACGTCTCCCAGCGCCGGGCCCCATGGCAATATAAAAGTTGGGACCAGATTTGAGCTTTATTTTGTGGTAAATGGAATGGCTAGGAACAAATAAATAAGAGCCCATCGCATCTGTCTGTCAAAGAGAGCAAAATTGTTCTGAATTGTTATTAGATGGTGACTGTCATCCTGGGCTTTCTATTAAATGGAAATAACACCGTGACTGTTATTTTTGCACTCAGAAATGTTTTTCTTGCTTTTTGGGTTCTTTTGAGGTTTTTCTAGATGGCACATTCTAGCTAACAGCTCTGTGCATTGGTGTCTGTTTCAGGCTGGATAGTCAATGTGATTCTGTGGCCTGGAGCAGGCTTGCAATGTGGGCGGTCTCCGGCCACACGCGGGGGGAATCTCACTTCCAGGCTCTTTGGAGTGAGGCACATCAGAAATCACCTTGCGAGAGCGGCACCCACCACCCCAACCCCACCCCGCGAGCGCCCCCTGGAGGGTGGGGCTGCTGACTGCGCTCCATCTAGGCAGAGAGAGGCCCGACACCCCCGCGCCCCGCGCCGCGGAGACCCGCGGAGTCGCACAGCCGCGAGCCCCAGCACTTACATTCACGGAGCCACTTGTTGGGGTCCAGCATCAGATACTGTTTCGTCATCTCCAGCTCCTTCATCAGCCACTCGTACTTGGCTCGAACCTCGGCGATTCTCTGCTGGCGATGCTCCAGAATTTTCAGTTTTGCATTGAAACACGTGACCTCCTGGTAGGCAGCGGAGGGGGAGGAGGGGGGTGAGAGGAAGACGCCTGGGCTCAGAGACAGGTGCACAACCTCTGCGCAACAGGTGCAGGTGGGCTTCCGCGCACAGGCAGAGGAGCTGCCCGCTCCTTTTGGGGGCATCCAGGTGGCTCCGGCTGAATTTCTACCCTGGCAGTCAGCTCGCATAACCCAGCCTCAGGTACGCAGACTGGGTCCCAAGCTGGGCCAGAGCATCGGCCCCGCCAGCCTGAGCCTGCACAGACCCCTGAAGCCCCGCCCAAAGGTGCGGCGGCCGGGGCAGGTGCTGCTACCCCCACCCACCCCAGCCCCGCTGGCCCTCCCTGCTGGGAAGCCTGGCTGGCCTGCGCCGCCCGGCACCCCGGGGCTCACCTTGCCTGCCCGGCGGCGCTGCAGGCGCTCCACATCATCAATTTCATAGACTTTGATCTCGAAAGGCTCTCCCAGGCCCCTCTGGGTGTTGCTCAAGGGGCCGTCCACCCAGCGCACCCCGGCGCTGGTGGGGGGTTTCCTCGCTGGGGACGGGGTGTCCAGGGACAGAGCTGGGATGAGCCGCCGTCTCTGGGAACCTGAGTAGGGGATTAAGCGCAAAGTTAATCTCAATGATTTTCAACCTTTTAATTTTTTTTTATAGTGGTCGGTGTTTTCTTTTCTTTCTTTTTTTTTTTTACTATAATAATTTATTTTTACATCATTTTGTGCCTTTTTCCATCTCAGTTGTAACCCCTGGGGTCTTCCCATCACCCAATCACCCGTGGGCCATCACCATAGTCCCATGCACTAACCTCCACCCCTTTTTTTTGATCCCATTCCCCACTCCACCTCCATAAAATATCTCTGGTATATAGTTGCTCATTATCATTATTCCCCCCACCTCCAACCCCGGCCAGGTCCTTTATGCTCCAGTGTTTTTATTTTTCTTTCTGGCTTATTTCCACCAAGCACAATCCCTTCTAGCTCCATCCATTTTGTTGTAAAAGGCATGAGTTTATCTTTTTGATGGCTGAGTAATATTCCATCACCACATCTTTTTAATCCAGTCATCTACTTTTGGGCTAACTTTTTTTATTGCAAGGGCTGGGCTGTGCCATACAACCTGGGGTGTTTTAATTTTGAAACACTCCATACCCTCCAGCATCACCTCAGAAACACACATGCACGTTGCCCCAGTACAATTTCTCCCCTTCTTCCTCAAAAAGAGACCCTGAGTTTCAGCGGGCAGCATGGCCACCTGGATGGAAACCAAGCCCCTCTGTGGCACCTGAGACTTAAGCTCCCAGTAAAGCAACATCACAAAGTTTGCCTTCTGCTGGAAAGCAGAGTGGTTGGGAAACGGGACACCATCCCCACCAGGTTATCGTGAGGTTGAAGGAAATTGGACCTGCCTTAACTTGGAATGGATGGAAGGTCTCCTTTTGGGAGGAAAGGAGATTTTTGCCTGAAACCTTGGCCAGTTGCACTTAAGAATTGGGGCTGGCATGTAGAGAAAAAAAAAAAAAAGGAACCAGGAAAAAAAAGCATAATAAAGTAAAAATCAAAATCATCAAGCAACCATAGATCAGAGACATTCTGCAGGGAAGGAGGAGGGGGAAGGGCAGGAGAGGGGTGGCGGAGCACCGGAACTGTGGTGATGGCCGGGGGAGGGATAGGGGGGACTTTTTTTAAATAAAGATTTATTTATTTATGAACACAGAACTGGGGTACAGGCCAGAGGTGCAGGGGTGGTGAGAGGACTCAGAGACAGAGTGGGGAGCAGAGCAGGCAGATGGATGAAGTGGTGAGCAGAACAGGGCAGGTCAGGAGGGGTCTGCCGCGCCATGTGGGTCACCTCCGGGCGGGGGATCGAACCGGCAACTGATGTGGCTGTGGCCAGCTTGCAGTGCTGCGCCCTAATCCGTCACACCACCAGGGAGGGCCGGTGGTGGGAATTTCATGGGGAAACCACACATTGTACAAAAATGAAGGATGATATAATGAATATATTAAAAAAAAAAAAAGGATTGGGGCTGGGCCTGCTTTTCAATAGGATAGATAAAGAGCTCCAGGCAAAGTGAGATTTGAATGAAGGAAAACAAATGAGAACTGAAACCCTTCTCAGGCAGCTCTGAGAACGTGGAGGCCGCTCGAACCTGTAGTTTTCTGGAGGAGCTGGGAGGTGGCCGTGTGTGTTCCTGAGATGATATTGCGCCTCTCAACGCTATTTACCATCACGGACAGGGAATCTCAGAGGAGTTAATGCCTTCTTTCTTCTACTCTTCCATCTATCCTCTTTTCCATTATTGTCCCCCAATTCCACTGGGTTCTGCCTAGTGGGTACAGAGCTAGTGTGGCCTGATGACCCTTTCAGAAAGAAAGATGTTGTCCTTTTCCTCCAACTTCAGAGATCTACTAGTTGCTATGGAAACAAATACCACAACCCCAGAGAGAGAGCAAGCCAGATGCTTCATTATGGAGTAAAAGACCTAAGACACAGAGCTGCCTCCCACTAACAACTCTGGGGCGTTAGAATTCCCCCATTCCCTGCAGGGACGGCATGGCTATTCAGTGTGGTCTTTCCTCCAAGAGACAACCAGGGACACTGAATTTGGGTTTAAATTTTTTCCCCCCAAGAATCATGTTCTGGGGGCTTCCCTGGTGGCGCAAGGGGTTAGGTCTCAGCACTAATGTCTGACTTGGTGGTCAGTTCCCCCCCGGGGTGACAGGCACGCTCCCCATGCCCTTGCCAGGGCCCCCAGCTTCCCCCACGACACGGAGTCAGGATCACAGTGTACCTCTGAAGCAGACGAGAGGGAAGTGGGGGGCGGTCCTCAGTGGTAGGTGTAAGAGCTGGCTGTTACCAGTTCACACGTGGAATGGATTTTCTAGTAATTGAACCCAAAAGTCTCAGAAAATCCATGATACCCATGAGCTATTATGCAAGAGAAACGGCGTCTACCTAGACTACCGCTCACTAGCTCTCACGTCCCCCTTGCCAGGGAATGGCATGGTGAGGAGGTTGAAAAGTTTGCAAGAGAACTTGTGAAGAAGGCAGCAAGCACGAAAAGGCCTGTGGGATATCTCTGCAACCCCCACCCCCACCCCCAGGCCTGCCTTCAGCTGCGTGTCATCAGAGGGGTCACCGACCAGTATGTGTCTGACTCATTCTGGCCTCTGCAGTGATGTCCACTCCAGCAAGAAGTCTGGTATTGGGCCTTTTTGTACTTAACACCCCGGAGTCCAGATGGAACGGTCTGTGCTAGTCTGAAGGTGCCACCTGTTTGGTCAAATGTCAGGGGACTGGGCAGCTTGAGCGCTGCAGGCCTTCTCTACCACCCAGCCCTCGGCCACTGACAGGCATTGCACACTCCTCATCCCTTTCCTCCACTCAGGGACTTCGTACAGGGGCTTGGTTGTCTGCCCTGCTGTCCCTTCCCACCCATGACATGCCCACACCACCACGCTCAAAAAATATAGAAGAGGCCTGATCCGTATTTATCAACTGGAAATACATGCTATGCATCTTCCTATGCAAAGAAGTGTATTAGCACCAATATTTCTTACGTGATGCAAATCATTTCACAATGTGGGCATCAGAGAGACTATGAGGGTTGTCAATAAACCCTGAGAAACACCTCCTTTTTACTTTTACATGAGAAAATTGAAACCGAGAGAGGGTTATTCTCTTAACGGTCACACAGCTCAAGACTCTAAGTCTCTCCCTTTCTTTTTCTTTCTTTTTTTTTTTTCAGGTTTCTTTATTTATGCATACAGAACTGGGGTACAGGCCGGAGGTGCAGGGGCAGTGAGAGGATCCACCAGAGACAGAGTGGGGAGCAGGACTGGCAGATCGACTCAAATGCACTGCTGAGGGGACAGCAAGGAGACGGGAGAGGTCTACTGCGCCCTGTGGGTCACCCCCTGGCCGGGGATCGAACTCGTGCTGCAGTGGCTGTGGCCAGCTTCACAGCGCTGCACTTTAACCCCTTGTGCCACCAGGGAGGGCCCAGTCTCCCCCTTTCTAGCGTAATCTTCTCACGGTTCCTGCCACAGCCGGCAGAACCACCAACCCTGCACACTTCCCGCCAACATGCCTCTCCACGGACGGGCTGGAAAGGAAGCTGTGGTGATGATGTTTGGCTCATTCCACTGTTAAATGTGCCCTCCAGCACTCAGAAAACTCAAGAACATCTTTGCAGTATTGAATTTCCGGTGCATTTTTACTAAGAAACTAACCGAAATATTAAATCTTGCCAGACTCAAAATCAACCTCTGATAGGAAAAAAGAATAATAATAATAATAATCATAATAATAATATGGCCTATCTTTCTGCAGTCCCAGCTACCTCCAGTAATTTTAAAATCTAGCCATCTCGCCAGGAATTTTCTTAGAGGAGTTTTATGGCTTCTCTTAAAGGAGCTGCTTTTGATTTATGCTGATCATGTCTGGCAGCCGGCATTTTTCTTCATAATAATCATAAATAAGCAAGACAAGGTCGCCTGGCTGAAAGGAGCATATCTCTGCTGCCAGTCCATTATGCAGGCCTGGATCTACGAGCTGGTCGCTGAGCCCCGATGCTCTCGGCGTCTGCATTAAATCCCACATCTGGCACAGAGCCTGGCGCTTTTATCTCCCACTATTCCCTCCAGTAGGCTAATCTAGCAAGAGACGCTCAGAGGACAGCGTTTATGAAGAGAGGAAGAACAAGAGCGACCTCGGAGAAGCCTGATGTCCACTCTCCAGACAGTTGTTCTACACACTTTTTCTTCATGTTTTCTGCAGCGTAACAGCCATGCTGAATATGGCAAGTCTTGACTGAAGAGAAAATATATTGAAGGAGTAAAATGGAGTCACAGATTCCAGGCACAAAATTAGAGCGTGTGGAAGCCCTCGATTTACCTGACCTGTGGCACACAGAAATGTCTCACTGTTTCTGTGACCTGGGCTTTGAGGAACACAACTTGGGAGACATAATAGAAGCGTTTATCCCCAAATAGCATGAAGGCCAGAAGGTTTTTTTTTGTTTCTACAGAGACCCTAGCTTAGACAAACTTTCTTGTTATTTTACCAAGACATGTTGATGCCTCAGCCTTGAGAATGGCCACAGCAGCTGCCACATTCTAGCAAGTGGCTTCTGCCTCCCGCAGGGTCTGCCCTGTGCCTGTGGGTGGACTCTAGGGCGAGGGATGCCAAGGGGCACCGTCCGAGCGGAGCGAAACCTGACGCACACACCACAGGGAAATGAAGACGTCAAGGGGCTGACAGCCACGGTGACTCCCAAGCATGCTGGGAATACAACATTCTAGAAGGTTTCATGATCTGTGGGCCTAGCAACAGGGCAGTGTCTGGAGTTACGACATGACGGCCTAATCCCTTGAGGTGCCTCGCTTTGATTTGAGGAAAATGGTTTATGATGTGAGCTGGCCAGACGCTTACATTTGGGTTGGAACATTCCAGAGCTTGGGCTTTTGCACATGCAAAAGCAAACCTGTGGTTGAGTGCAAAAGCCAGTGGATCAGCTGATGGAAAAGCCGGAAAGGCTCCACCTCTGGGTCTGGCCCCACTTTTATTCCAAGGATCTGGCAGCACCAATATGCTCCCGGGCAGTGTTTCAGACAGCCTGGGGTTCCACAGAAGGGCGACGGTAGAGCAGCAGACGGGCTAGTGGGGTGCCCCGACACCCTCCGTTTAACCAAGGCACAGAACTGCACACGGGCCTCTGGACAGGGCTGCTTCCCACAACACATGCGTTGTTCTTATGCTAAAGAAGGAGCAGGGGTGACGTCTTTGGAATCCGTGTAAGGACGAAGAGGAATCAGAAAAAATCCTCAAGTAGCTGAAGTTGCTCTTGGTTCCTCCTCTCCTCTACCTCTTCCTCCTCCTCTCTTTACTGTCCTTTCACTTCACCTACCTCCTGGCTACCAACTCCGACCTGGGCTCCCTTCTACTGTCCCATCAAGGGTGACTGTCACAGGGCACCCAAATCCCCAGTTACTGAGTCAGTGGGATTTGTACCTTCGTTGCGCTGCTGTATAATCTGCCTTTTGGTTAGAGACTCCTGTGAGTGGCAAAGAGTTGTTCCAAAAGCATGCATTTGGGCTTCCTGGTGTGGGGGTGTCCTCTGGTGGGGGGCTGGAGGGAGGGCCAGGAGGAGAGGGTTCAATTCAGGCTCCGGGGTGCATGTGCGGGGTGCATGGACCACAAGTGTGTTTGGGAGCACATGTTAGAACGGCCTGCCCCACAAGGACAGACAGGATGCTCCACCCTGTTTCCAGGGTGCGCCCACCAGGTCTTGGGGAACCCCAGGCCTGCATTTCAGCTCTGTGACTTCTGGTCATAAGGGTGGCCCTGACCTGCCTGCTCAGCAGCCCCTAAGCAGCGTTCTTGTCCTGGAGCAGCTCACGGCAGGGCTCCCCCCACTTAGTGAGGGGAACCAAAGGCGGAACAGGCAGTTTTACCCCCAGAGCTGGTGAGTGGGGGTGGGGGATGGGGCCCTGGAGGCCCGGCAGTGTGTGTGTGGGGGGTGTCCTCCACCATGCTGGTGAGTGAGGGGCATTTGCCTCCTTAAGGCACCCTGACATCCTAACCCCAGGGCATTTTTTTCCTATAATTTATTTTTGATATTTTTTTATGCACACAGAACTGGGGTACAAGCGAGAGGCTCAGGGGCGGCGAGAGGCTTCACCAGAGACAGAGCGGGGAGCAGAACAGGCTGATGGACGAAGCACACTGCCGAGGGGAGCAGCAGGCGGTGCAGGGGAGATCTGCCGCGCCCTGTGGGTCACCGGGGGGCGGGGATCGAACTTGCACTGAAGCGCCGGGCCAGCTTGCCGTGCTGTGCTCTAGCCTGCTGCGCCACCAGGGGGGGCCCGAGGGCATTTTTAAAGGCCACTTTGACAGAGCCAGCCCCTGCGTCCCCACCTGAAGCGCTCCGGCCAGGTTGAACCCCACGCCCCAGGCCCCGTGGCCCCAGCCACCGGCCAGGGCAGCCGCGCCTTCGGGAGCCCCGTGCCAGACAGACGCCTACCTGAATTGGAGCGTTTCTTTGGGGTCTTGAGGCTCCGGCAGCGCCCGCCGACGGAGCTGCTGTTCTCGCTCATGGAGTCCTGGGCGGAGGACGCGCTGCCCGTGGCCTCGCTGTCCCTCAGCATGCTCTCGTAGCCGCTGCTGCCGCCGCCGCTGTGGTAGAACAGCGCCGTCTTGCCCATGGCGGGCGGCAGCTCCCCGCTCAGCACGCTGCTGTTGTCGCTGCCGTGGCCGCTGCTGCAGCGGTGCGGCTTCCGCGGGGGCGTGACCTTGCTGTAGGGCGAGGGCAGCAGGTGCGTGGC